TATAGTCAACACACATTCTCCATTTTCCATTATATTTCTTAACAAGTACAACGTTGGACAACCAGGTTGTGTACTAGGCTTCCGATATGAAATTCGCCTCTAGGAGGTCTTTTACAGCTTTTTCAGTAGCCTCTACTTTTTTGGGAGATTGCCTATGCCTATGTTGAACTATGGCCCTAGCGGCCAGATCTATGGAGAGGTGATGGCACGCTACGTCGGGGTTGAGCCCGGACATTTCAGCAGCGCTCCATGCAAAGAGGTCAGCATTCTCCCCGGAGGCAGACCTTGATTTGTTTTCTTGCTAAGTCAGGGAGGCCCATTCCTATATTCATGCTTCTTTTGGGACCGTCTCATAGCGTGCTGAGTTCGAAGTCTCCGTCTGGAATAGGGCGTGTCGGGTGAGAGAGTTGCCCGTTGTCTGCTGGAGGCGTGTCTTCGGACTCTTCACCTTGTCCCTACTTACCGGGGAAACGGATGTCGAGGTCGACAGAGTTGACGTGTGGGAGGGACTTCGGCTCCTCCATTTGGGTTGGTCTTTCGATAGATTGGGGGGGGGGGGGCGTTGATGGAGCTGAGTCCTTTGAGTGCCGCCTCAAAGCATCTTCTGGCCGCCTTAATGTCCTTGTGGAGGGTGACGACCCACCCTCTGGCTGTGTAATATTTCATCTTCAGGTGGACTATCGACGGTATCGTGGTCAGTTCGGCCAAAGTTGGCCATCTCAGGATGCACTGGTACAAGGAGGGACATTCAATTACCAGAAAGCGGACTTTCACCTATCGGGTCGTCTCCTCGGCCCTGAATGTGACGAGCAGTTCTACGTATCCCCAAGGCTTAGTGGTGGTGTCGTTGAAGCCTTGGAGGTCGGAGCCCACATATGGGGTTAAGTGGCTCTCGTCGAGCTGCAGGGTCGTGAGCATGTGGGGGTACATTATGTTCACCGAACTCCCTTGGTCGACCAGGATTCGACGGACATCGAAGTTCGCCATCTGAGCTCTAATCAGGAGGGGAATGTTGGATTTGGGTGCTCCCCGGGAAGCTCCTCGAGGTAAAAGGTGATCAAGTTTGATTGTCCTTTGAACCTGTCGAGGGTAGCGTTCGTCTTCGAGCTCTTGTCGATGAGTTCCTCGAACTTCCTCTTGACCGACCCGACCGATAACTTGCTATGCCCCCTACCGAATATCACTAGTGAGGCAGGGAAATCCTCCCACAGGCTGTGGGCGGACAGTGGTCTGACAGACTCGCTAAAGAGGAGGAAATCTTCTGGTTGAGAGACGCACATGGCCACTTGCAGTCCCGTTTCGTCGGAGGGAATTGACGCTTCCTCGACCCTCTTGGCCTCGTGGGTCTCAGGTCGGGGGACTTCACCCCTCAGGTATACTGTTTCAGATGCTCTTCTTTAATTAAGATCTCGATTGCATCTTTGAAGTGGATGCAATCTTTCGTGGCGTGTCCATGGCTCTGGTGGAACCGACAATATTTGGATTTGTCTACGTTGGGCTTCGGGGATGTCGGTTTCGGAAACCAGACACCGCCCCTCTGAAATTCTGAATTGATACATTCGGACAGGATACGCTCGCCGGGAGCTGTGAGTAGCATGTACTCAATGAACCGACCCACTGGTCCTTTCTGTTTGTAGGGTCGGTCTTCGCGCCTTCTTTGCTCGTTGTGTCGAGGAGGAGGGGCTTCCTCATGCTTGGTGCCTCTGAAGTCCTCATGGTTCCGTCTATCTCGAGCGGTGTTTGGAGCCTCTATCTCCTCATACTCGATGTATGATTGAGCTTTATGGAGGAAGGCATTCAAGGTGTGGGGACGTGCGATCCCAACGGCCTTGGCGAAGTCAGAGTGTAGTCTTATGCCTCTCAGGATCAATAACTTCTTCATATCGTCCGTGTTGGATACCTGGACGGCCTCACGATTGAACCTCTCTGTGTAATCTTAGAGAGACTCGTTCTTCCCTTGGATAATGGCTTCCAAGGTCGCTTCTGTCTTCGGATGACATCGGGAAACCGTGAAGTGCCTGGAGAACTGTCGCTTCAGTTCACCCCAGGAGGTGATGGAGTCGGGCGCGAGGCGTTTGTACCACGCCATGGCTCCCTTCCTCAGGGTAGTGGGGAACAACCTGCACTTGATGGCTCCCCGTATGTTCTGGTAGTCGAGCGTTGCGTTGATGCTTTCGATATGGTGTATGGGTCAGTCGTACCATCGTACATTGCCAAGATATGGGGTTTTTCCATCCCGAAGGGCAGTGGGGCCTCCCTGATGCCTCTGCATAGCGGTGAGTGCTGGACGTCTTCGTCGCTTCTGATGGGAGACATCGAGGGGGAAGCTGATCCCTGGTGGTTACTGTTTCGGCGTGGGGACTCTTCAGTCGGGCTCTCGGTCTAGAGGGCCCCTTGCGGCTTTCTTTTTCTGAGCCGGGGAACGTCACTCTTTCCGAGAAGGTGACCTCTCCCGTTTGTGGGAAACTAGTTGTTGAGGTCGCTCCAAACGACAGCGGCGCCCTGTCGATAGAGGAGAGGGACTCCGCAAGTCCTCGACGAGTCGCGTCCTCCGTGGGGGAGGAGAAGGACTAATGGAAACTAGGCGATAGTGTCTCCGTGGGGGAGGGGAAGGATTGATGGAAACTAGGTGATGATATTTCCGCGGGGGAGAGCGCGATGGTCGTTCCCTTTCGAGCATCTCTATCCTCTTATTCTGCCCGAAGATCATCAAGTTGGTCTGATTGATCGTCGTGAACAAGGCCACCATGGTAGGATCGACGCCAGCTGGAACCGAGATTGGATGGTAGACAGTCAGACTGTCTAAGCGCTGGACGACACTGAAGGCCGCGTCTTTTGAGGAGGGAGAGGTGGTGTGCCCGTCCTTGTGGTCGTCTTCTTCGTTGCGGACGGTCGCTTCGGGTCATGACCGTCCCCGTTGGAGAAGGGGACAAAGGCAAATCCTGGAGCATTATCATTGCGTGGGCTGACCATGATTAAAATGGAAGTTAAAGGTTGCTTTGGCTCTTGAGCTTCTGTGCTTGGACAGGAGAAAGAACGGGGAAGCAGAGTTTTCCACAAACGACGCCACTGATCTTACCTGATCAGAAAGGAATCAGTAGCCTGCCACACGTCGTGAGTTGCTGCCTTCACCGGTGTTGTGGAGGAGAAAAATGGGTGTACCTGCAAGATGCTCTGATGCTTAAATGAGTATCGAAACTAGAGAAAGTAAGTGCAGAGAGAAGGTGTAATGAATGGAATACCTGACCCTCTAGCGAAAGAAGGTATTTATAATGTGCTCCCAGCGCAGGGCCAACGGTTACATTGCATTGGGGCGGATTGCCAAACCCAACATGAGTAACTGCTACGACTTACGTGGCGTAGTGAAGACCAGCACGTGATCTTCGCCTTGGATCAACTGCCCCGTGATCTTCGGAAGGTGGGCTGACCATCTCTTTCGAAAGTGAGTAGTTGCCCGATGACATGTCCCCGCGTGAGGGACGGGTGAACGTGGGGGAAGCGTGTGGGCTTTTCCGTCAAGAGAGTCTTCTGTCTGACTGATGAACCTTATTGAGGCTTGTGCTCGACAGAGAAAATTGAACCTTGTTGGACCTCATCAGCATAACACTGAGTTGAGCCTGCTCGACTGAAGAGCAATTCCTGACCCAGTTCAAAACAACTTTTATTTTGATAATTTATAACATAGTACTGATGATAATAATAATGAATTAAAAGTGTAAAACCTTTTATTTGAAGCTGCACCATTACATCCAATCCAATGCACCCCTCCTACATCTAATTCCAATTCGTTGGAATGGATAAAGTATATACATTTTTATACATAAATAATCACATATGTGATATTATTATAATCTTTTTGGTACAAACGTGTGATTCTTAACAATGAATATAAATGAAAATAATAATTAATTGAACTTGTGTGCATATTAATAAACTAATATTTGATTTATTTTATTTTATACGAACAATTTTTATAGCCATGAAATTTGCAAACCAAGACAAATTACGAATTATACGTGGCCGTTGAGCAAAAAGAGAAATAAAAAGAAAGAGGAAAACTTCACCGATTCTCGTGATCTTCAACCTCGAACCGAATCCAGAGAGCGAAGATCCAAACCATCGTTCATTTCTTGATTGAAATTGTAACACCGTTTCCGGTCACAGCCTCGATCGGATTCAGCTTTTGTTCCTCGTCAATTTCCGTAAGCCTCTATTCCCTTATCGTGAAGCCTTTCTCGCACAATGCACCGATTCCTTTTTCATCGCCGCAAAATGCTCCGGCTATTCCAATGCATTTTTTTCTTTATTGGCTGATGCATTTGTTTCTTTTTGATATTCGATTGACTTCGGTGTCGAAACTAAGCTAGGGTTTTTGTTTGATTAGGGGTTTTTTATCGATGTTATTCTCTTGAATTTTGCAAATTGTGTATTTGTCTATGATGCTTGAAGTGGTTTGGCACCTAGGTTTTGATGTTTGGTGCAATGGCAGCCAAGTGGTTGATTCCATCAGTTTATGATGGTATGGTAGTTGATAATGATTAGAATTAGAATTAGAATTAGTAAATGTGAATTTTTCATCAATGCTGACCAGAATAACAGAAATATGTTAGGACCAATGTTTTATCAACTATTCTGCTCAGATGAAGTGTTTTTGTTGTTGTTTATTTTGATGATAAAGATTTCAGATAAGTGATGATATTTTAGAATTTTTGACAATTTTAGGGATAATCCTGATGGGTTTAGTGCGTGGTATGTTATATAATATACTGTCTTTCTTGATATAATTATATGAGACTTTTGGGTTTTTTTTTCTTCTGATTTTATCTTATCTGTGATACCTATTGAATTTCACCCTCAATCATGTATTTGGTGTTGGTTTCTTGTTTACTGACTACCATTTTATTTGATATTTCAGAATATTGAAAGGTTTTAATTGTTGATTCTGGTCTGGGTCTATAGTCGCCCATGAAGTTTTAGTTCAAGTTTTGAAATATAGAGCCATGAGTTTTGTTTTTCGAGGAGCAAGAGGTGATATAGAAAATGGGTTTCCAGGATTTATGCCCGAGAGGCGTGCATTGGTATGTACTGCCCGCATCAATTATTATTTGAATAAATGTGTTATTGTATTTGTATCTGACAAATTTGATGCTTCATTGTTTCTTTGATTTATGTTTAATGAATTAATCATTGTTTTATACTGATTTCAATCTTTTCTTCAGCGTGTTCATGCTGCACGACCTAGTAATTCCAACTCACTCACTTTTCTCGTAACAGGTATGTTCTCAAATTAAGTTTCTTTTTTAATTTGTTGTGTAAATAACTTCCATTTTTGTATCTTCTCCAATGTACCATTCACAACTTAATCCATATATATTTCAGTTCTCCTGTTATTCATGATACTGAACTCCCACCAGATGTCACCAAATTTTCTGGTAAGATCTTCTGTATCTATATTCTAAACAAAGCATATAAATTTCATCTAGAAAAAGTATGAAATTGTTAATATTGTTTATGATTAATGAGGTCTTGTGTTTGTAGCTCTGGCTAGTGCTTGGTGTTTTTTTGATGGCTACAATGCTACGGATGTATGCAACATGTCAACAGCTTCAAGCCCAGGCCCAAGCTCATGCAGCAGCAGCCAGTGGCCTTCTTGGCCACACAGAACTACGGCTGCATATGCCTCCATCGATAGCACTTGCAAGCCGAGGGCGTCTGCAGGGTCTCAGACTTCAGCTGGCACTTCTTGATCGGGAGTTTGATGATCTAGGTTTGTCTGTTCTTTTCATAATATGATTCTTTGTTTCACATTAAAATTTTTACAACTCTGAAATTCAAAAATATTGTAGTTAATTTATGTGTTCACTACTCTTCAAGTGTATGATATAATAATATTTCTAGTTTGTTGTATTTTTTCCTTTTCAAATTTCAGATTATGAAACTTTAAGAGCTCTGGATTCGGATAATGTTTCTACTGCACCTTCTATGACTGAAGAAGAGATAAATGCTCTTCCAGTTCACAAATACAAGGTTTCTGTTCCCCAAAAGTAAGTAATTAGTCCGATTAATTGTTATATGTTCCCTTTAAATGGGTCTTACCATTACAAATTATTTAATTTAATGCATTGATATGCGTCAAGATTAATGTTACATATACTTTTAAAATATATGAAAATAAGATCCCATTTGAATATTTGATGCAAATAATGAAATCAATGGGATAATTAACAGTTGGAAAAATAAAGTGCATGTGTGCGCGCGCGCACACACACACACACACTTTATTCATAAACTTACGGAGTCTGCATGTGCTAAAAAGTTATATTACTGATTGTATGACAAGAAGCTGTTTTTGCTTACAGAAGTAGTTCCTCAATGCAACAAGCATCACCATCCACTGCTGCTGAGGTATCATCTACATCATTGTTCTTTTTTAGTTTTTATTTTTTTTTTAGGTTGTGCCCTCCATTTAGCCTAAACAAGTTAATTACATTGCATCTCATGAGAACTTCGATGATTCTTTGAGAGTATGGTTTTATGCATGTCATTACTTAATACTTTGATTTCCCAGTAAAACTCATGGGGTTACAGGAAAGAGATGATAATCCTTTAATGGATATTGTGTGATGAGTTTAAAATAAATAGCACATTTACTGTTGTTGGGCTTGGGGACTTCGAAACTATACGCCATTATATTATTTTCTTGAATATCTTTTTATCAGTTTTATAGATGATTGTGGCTATATATAGACCACCACCATCTCTGACATTGTCTGGGGAATTTTCCACCTTGAGTTCCCATAGGGGAGATAAATAACAAAATGATGACTATACAACATTGACTATTTTCCCTTCTATCAAATTACTATATTTTCATTTAGAGTGACGGCAGGTTTGCATGATTAATTTCTTTTCGTTTATGGCAGAAAACACAGGATAATTCAAATGCGGTTGGGAACACAAAAGCCTCAGATGATGATCTCACCTGCAGTGTATGCTTGGAGCAGGTTAATGTTGGAGATGTACTTCGTAGCTTGCCCTGTCTGCATCAGGTCTGTTTAGTTCCTATGCATTGTTACATTTTAACAAATAGTTTGTTTCTATTTGTTTGATGATATATTCTGCCAGTTCAACCTAGTCATCTCAGCTAATGTTCATCTAAGTCACTAATATATGCAAGAAGTCAAATCATGTACTTTGTGTGCGCATTGACACTCATTCTGAAACTGATGACGTGAGAGAAGAAAACCGAAGCGTTGACACCTAATATAGGTTTTACCAAGGGGGTGGACATATGCACATGCTCTCTCCCGCCCGCACACACTTAAAAAACAATAGTTACTTTGAACTTTATAGAAAGATCAGGCTTTTTAATGTCATGTTTTAATCTTCATTTTCTGCTATAAAATTTACTGAAATTGGATTGGCAAGATAGTGACTTTTTTTTAGCATTGCCTTTGTTTTGAAAAGTATTTTTCTTTGGATATTCCATCATGAGCTTGAGTTTACCATTGAAAAGGCGTCTGTGAATGTGATGCAGTTGAACATTATTGTGGAATATTCTCCAGTTTTAAATTTAGAAACTGATTTTAGTTAGGTATGTTGAAAACCTTTTATATTCACCCCCACCCCAAACAAACATTAAATCAACATTTCAGTTTTAAGTGAAGTATATTGACGGCGGCATTCTAGTGAATAATGTTAACTATTATATTAAGTCAAGCTATTCTGAAGTATATAAAAATCTTAAGGGTTGACACTTTCTGTTTATAATTTTATCTCAGTTTACAATTGATGCTGTTTATTTGTTTTCTAGTTTCATGCTAATTGCATTGATCCTTGGTTGCGGCAACAAGGGACGTGCCCTGTTTGCAAATTTCGAGCAGGATTTGGGTGGAATGACGGTGGACATAATGATATCGCCGACATGGTTTGAATACCTTGTATAATTTTGAATTTTGAATTTATGTTCATAATATGTTGTAACTGTAACGGGTCATATATCAAAAGTTTGTAGAACTTGTATTCTTGTAAATACCCTAATGTAGGGATGTAAGGAATGGTAGAATATCGTGTAACCACCATAGAAGTTATATACAATTTGTTTCCTAAAGATTTCCAAGTTTCTTGGGTTGCCAGGCAAAGCCAAACCGCAAGTACAGTTTTATTTTTAATGCCTTGTACTGTTGTACCTGTATATGATGCAAATTTTATCACGTAAGCTTTTGCAAGACCGCATGCACTAATATGGATTTCAAAATGAAATATCCAATTTAGCACAACGCATTTCCTACGTAGTTAGCAAAGATGAATATTTCGTGGATGCAAATAGCATTACTCTAAAAACAATGAAATTGCAACTTTTCAATTGGACAACCTTCTACCATATGCGAGAAAATTTTACCCTATACTCCCAATAGGTATCTCTACTCCAACAATTGTGTAAATATTTTAAATTTATTCTTGGTAATTTCATTTTAATCTTTTACTTTTTATCATTCGTTCAAGTAATTTGAAATAAGATATTGTGTACCCTTGCCATGCAAACCAGATAACTTAAGTTAAAGACATTTGGTATGTTAAAAGTAATGATTTCTGGTTTATAGTTACCGCACTGGATAACATATTGTCTAGTTATCCCGTTCACAAAATTCAGATAAAGATAACATATTGTCTAGTTATCCTGTTCACAAAATTCTACCGGATAACTTCATGTGTTTTCCAGTTTAATTTTTTAATTAACCGAATATCTTATATGTAAGAGTTCTGGTGATGTATTTTTTACTAACTGGATTGATTACTTCTAAGAATTTCGGTACACATTTTTTATTTATTTTAAATTTTAATCTTCACAAAATTCAACTGGATAACTTCATGTGTTTTTCAGTTTAATTTTTTAACTAACCGAATATCTTATATGTAAGAGTTCTGGTAATGTATTTTTTACTAACTGGATTTATTACTTCTAAGAATCTCAGTACACATTTTTTTTTAATTTTAAATTTTAATCTTTTTTCACATTTATATTTAATTGGTAGGAATATTCATTTGATAATATGCGATAAAAATCAGATATGTGTAGATACTACTGAGATATTCTCAACTACAGAAAAATTTGATACACGAGAAGATGCGATTAGGTGGATTAGAGAGGTTGAAATCAGGAATAGAGTGACAGTTAGAATAACTCGCTCGAATATCAAAATTGGCAAGATAGGAAGAAGTGACAAAGTTATATTTGATTGTGATAAATGTGAAAAATACAAATAAGGAGATAGTGTAACACAAAGTGCTCCTAAGAAATGTGGCTGACCATTCAAAATTAGGTCACTACCGTTAAAAGATTGTTCTGGTTGGAAGATTTATGTAAAATATGGACTTCACAACCATGGTTTACCGGATAGATCTGAAGGTCATTCATTTGTAGGCCGACCTAATGTTGATGAGCAACAACATATTATTGATTTGACAAAACGTCATGTTTCACTAAGACACATACTGTTGTCATTGCAAGAACGAGATCCAGAGAATGTGACTCGAATCATGCAAATATATAAACATAATAGTAAGATTCAGAAAGACATAAGGGTTCCTATAACGGAAATGCAACATTTGTTTAAGCCGATAGAGGATTCAGATTATATTTATCGGAGTAGAAAAAAGACGAGTCATAAGTTCTGAGAGATATCTTCTGGACCCTCCTAGAATTAGTGAAGTTTGACTATGTTTCCTAATGTATTGACAATGGACAGTATATACAAGACAAATAAGTATAGAAAACATTTGTTTGAAGTAGTTGGTATGACATCAACTGAGTTAACATTTGCTGTTGCATTTGCCTATATGGAATTTGAGCAGACACAGATTTTTGTTGGGTATCAGATAAGTTGAAATTGTTGTTTACTAAGCAAGGGTTATGACCACACGTGATTTTGATTGATAGAGATCTTGCTTTGATAACAATAATTGAAATAGTATTTTCAAGGATAATTAATTTGCTTTGTCGATTTCACATCAACAAAAATGTGAAATTAAAGTGCAAGGAGTATGTTGTGAATGATATATGAGAGTCGATAGAGAAACTATGGTATTGACTTGTAAGGACTAATGACGAGGTGAAGTACCATCAACAATTGCAATAGCTTGAGCATGCATGTGTGAATTTTAGACCATTTTTTGATTATGTGAAAGACACATGGTTGACTCTTCATAGGCATATATTTGTTGGAGTTTGGATTAATCAAGTGTTGCATTTGGAAAACACCAAGACTAATGGGTATGTTTGTTTCTAGCCATAATTTGTTTATCTTAGTATTAAGGATACTGTTTTTTTAGGATTGTGTCTGCACATTAGAAACTAAAGCAGATGTTGGAGAACAATTTGGTTGATATGTGCAAATGTTGGGAGGCTATGAATGACAATCTCAAGGTACAATTGGGAATATTAGAGCTTCATCTCAAAAGAGTTTTTACGAAGTTGAACACAAACACACTAGTCCATTTTATGGAAATTTGCGTGGATCAATATCAAGAGATGCTTCGAGACACATTGCTGAAGAGTGGTTGAGGGTCGACATTGTGGGTACAAACACCCAAATGTGCGGGTGTACTCATAGAAAAGTATATGGGTTACTTTGTGCCGATACACATTGAGTGATGATCTAATACCAATTGATGCTATTCATATCAATTGGACGAAGCTAAGCATGGAAGATGAACTAGAGGTAGATGTTGAGGATGAATCAAAGGTAAGTATAATACAAATGTGCCACACCATTTTCAGCCACACCTATACAGACATATATCATCAAATGAACGACGTTGTCTATGATCCTCAAAAGGGAGCCAAATGAAATCTGCAGGTGCCAATGCATCCAACACATGCCTAAGCTCATAAACCTTCTAAGCACCTTGCTTGTACACCCATTTCATCACCCTGGGAAGTGAGATACCTATACCAGCAATCTTAGATAATCCTCTCTTGCCAACAGTTAGAAAATACTCATGAATCCAACATTGTTACACAACATGAATATTATCAATTAAAATTATTATAAATAAGTAAATATAAATCAGAGTGAAGTTACAATAAAACATTTGTACATATAGTAGATAAACATATCCGCCAATCTGCTTGCAAGTATAAAAGGAAGCATCTGCTAGATATCTGTAGAGTGTGAAAAATGCAACTCCCCCCAACAATATCTACCACATCCATGAAAGTCCCTAAATAGTGATAAATACTTTGCCTCTACAAGAGTAAAAGTCTTGTCGGCAAAAATGGTGCAACCTACCAACAACAACATATAAGCTCTAGCAGCACAGTCAAATATACTCTTAGCTCGCTGACGCATAAATATCTCCCTCAACCCATCCAACCTATAATAAGCACCCCTACAACTACGAATGTCTTCACATGCCTCCTCTAAAGAAACATCCAATAAATCAATAACAAGAGTAATATCATCAGCATCACCGAAACCTTGTGTAGCGTTACAGGACTCCCCATACATGGTAAACGAAGAAGACAAGAAACATCGTACAATGTAATGGTCATCTCACCAAATGAAACATGAAAGGAAAATGTTTCTGGATGCCATTTCTCTACAAATGATGATACTAAGTTCTGACCTATTCTCAACAAACTGGTTCTCTGTACAGAGGATATACCAAAATCAGACAATCATCTCTCTATCAGCGGTGGGAGACTGTGCGGAACCCATCCTATCAATTTGCTATCATGTGCAATAATCTTTAATTCTTTATTTGGATTTCTCTCCTAAATATAATTTATAATATATGTTATAAAATATAAGTAATTAAAATTAAAAATGATTCAACATAAATAATAAAGATTAACTTACTTCGCCGAACCACAAATGGCAAGCAACAAGATCCCGATACCTCACTAGAAAAGACGTGTCGAACGACTCCCTGAGGAATTGTGGTTGTTGTGGACGAGGCTCAAGTGCGACTACCTGATGTTCCTCTTCATCTATCGCTTATCAAGGTTGCTGTCCTTCATCCGTTCGTCGATAAATGTTCTTGTCCTGACCTCTAATGCGCGACACTAAAAATACCAGAAAAAACAATGAATGTTAAAAACAAGAACCAGATAACTTTGAACTAAGTTCTTAAGATGAAATTAAAAACCAGATAACTTTGATGCTAGTTTTCCGACATACAACCTTAAGAATCGAATAACATGGTTAAGAGTTATCCAGTTAGAATAGATGTGAATCAAATTACTTTATGCCAAGTTATTCGATGTGTAACATTTTTCTAAATCAAACTAGGTAACTTACTTGTAAGATTTCCGGTGTGAAAAACTAAAGAATCAAATAGCTTTGACTTGTGTTCTCTAGTACATTATCAAAACATATTTCTTTAATATGTGATTTTTTCTGGTGCTCTTGCTTTCTCTAAAATGAGAAAAATGATAATTTTTGAAGTTTAAGTATTTATATAGAGATATTTTAGTCAAAATTCATAATTTGTAAGGTAAGGGTAGAGAGATAAATGAAGAAATATGGGATAAAATTTTCCATATGCAATGTCGACAAATCATAGGTGTCTTTGGTAATTACACAAAAACTATGAAATCAAATTTTTACATGAAAAGACTAAGTTAATAGACTACAATTATTGTGCTGAGAATGTTATCTTCAAGTGTAGTGTCAAAAACTTCACAAGTATCAAGCAAAAGTGTCAAAAACTTCAAAACAAAAACAAAACAAAATTAAAATAAAATCAAGCATTTGGTGTAGGGGTGTTTATAGTTCATGAGCTGTACTTAATCAAACCACATAGTACAAATCACATTTATGATTTAGTTTAGTTTATAATAACCATTTTAATAAAAATGCAATTAATTGTTGAAATGGTTTCAATTCAGTTTAAAACTAGTTTAGAACCGGTTTGTGTTTATAAATTAGT